ATAGAGAAGGGCGAAGTTCCATCTTGAGGAGTTGAGGCCGCGACGCTAGGGAATTCACGGGATTACTTCTCATAGACCGTCGCCGACTATGACGTCGGTCATAGCGACCGTAATACGAAATGTAGACTACTGGGACAGTAAAGATTGCTTGGTAAGCCATAACATTAGTAGAGTCTTCTAACCTTCCCTACCAGATTAATCGAAGTGAACCGCTCTGTCGCGAATTTCAATCGCATAGAAACGTCAATGAGTTTCAATGGTTTTTTTTTCTAGGCTATCCGAAATATCCGAGGGCGGATTTAAAGAAAGCTAAAACATCTATCTATATGGCAGTAAAAATCTGCTCGAAAGTGCAAATCAAGCGAAATTCTGCGACACAAGCAATAAAATCATATTTATCTTCGAAGCTATTTGAAAGGATCAATGAAGCGACCTACAGAGCATCACAATTTTACAATTATTTGTCATGAAAACAACTATGAGCAAGCATGGGTAACATCGACGATCGGGCAAACAGAAAGATTAAGATGGTGATCGTATTGTTCAATATGCTGTGAATTTGATATCAATCAGGAATGCAGTCTAATAACAGAAACCCAATAAAAATTTGGAATACTGTGATAGAGTACAAGCACAGTCGCTACTGTGCAACTTTACACGTCTACCCATAAAAATAAAAAAGAACTCGCGAAGGGACTCCACTGCATTATCGGACGCCAGAATTTCTCAAGAGAAACTAAGAATTTCGCTAGTGTATAATATTGCACACTACGAGCCTCAGCAATCACACTAGACTATAAAAGCAGCCTCAACCCTAGTAACTAGAAGACCAAAAAACCACACAAAACAAAAAACAACCAACACAGAACCAGTGCAATGAGAATAGTGGATAACCACCCAAAGGAGAGGTCTGAGCTCTCTGCACTTGCTTGCACCACCCGAGAAGGCAGAGACGCAGGCGGATCAGTGGACGAGTTGCAGCGACTGCTGCAATTATTACGCGTTAAGTTGAATGGAATGTACTGTAGTACGTCCCACATTGCACAATGCAAGCTACGACCGTCCGCTGATCCAGCTGGTTCTCTGCTTTCTCGCCGTGCGATGGGTCTCCTGAACTTAGGCCGTTTAGACAGAGCGAGCACCCGAAGTAATTATAATGCTCTGCTGTAAGTACGCTAGCAATGCGCCCGACGCAATTGACGGCGCTGGAGAATGACGTGCTCGTCACTAATTTGATTTCTTATGGGCTCTCTCAAAAGAGAGAAAGACACTTAATAGATATTGAGCAACCTGCCACTAATACTCAGCGCGTCATGTAGGAAGGTGAGAGATGGCCCACGCAGTGGCTGCGCCTAGTCTAGCGGCGCACCGGATAATTTCCCTGCCTGCGTAGCGTGCAATGCGCGCGAGGCGCACGCTGAGGGACGAGGGGACACTGCAACGCTCATCTATTTTTGGATTGCTGCCCAGCGGGGTAGCCTCATTGTGAGCATAACCCATAGGATTGTCATTGCGGAAATCGCGTCGATGCGACGCGCATTGTACGTGACTACGGCAGGAACATCGTAATTACGCTTACCTCGGGTGCTCGCTCTCGTCTAAACGGCTTCTCTGGCCTCCTGTCGTGTACCCCGAGGTCGTCTCTTGCACCAACTTTACCGTTCAGGTGCTGCTTCACTGCCCAACAAAGATGATGGGTATTGTGTGTGCAAGCACCATTGTATAGACCGTGCAAGCTCTAAATGGACTACACAGTGGCAATCTTGGGTATATCCAGACAAAAAAGAAAAGGCTTTTCATGAATAAAGGGAGGTGGAATATGCAGAAAGCAGCACTGTTTCCCAAACAAAAAAAGACAAGCGCTCAGAAAGTTCACGGCATGGATCCGAATAAAAAACCTTCCCACGGAATAAAACTCCCTCCTGTCCTGGTTTCCCCGAAATTCTTCATCGATTGTTCGGAATATTATTTGCTTTCATCCCCTGAAGTAGAGGGTCCTTTGACGACGTAAGCAAACCAGCCCTTTTGGCACATCGGCTGGGACCGTATGCTGAATGTTGGGGAGGGGATGGGGTCCCCAACGGTCGACGGTTTACTTCAACTCGGTTGGTACGATAGGAGAGTACTGACGCAAGTGGTGCAGCTGGTCCAGTAGCTTCGCCAGAAGGACCGGTCTGCTCACCCTTGGACTAAGCCTAGGAGAGGGGACGGACCCGTCCTCTCTTTAAGGCTTAGTTCTAAGGTAAGCGCCAAATTGTGGCGGTTCTAAGGACCGCGTTGAAGTTGTCCGTCCACCGTCGGGGACACCATCCCCTCCCCAACATTCAGCATACGGTCCCAGCCGATGTGCCAAAAGGGCTGGTTTGCTTTACTGCCGTTTGACCGAGCACGGGGGCATCTGCTTGAGTAATAGTACACAAGAGACCAATTTGACTATACCCTGGAGCTCTCTAACACCTAAGAAACAAGACATGTCAAATACACACAAACTCAGTACTTTAAGTGGATCCCCCTCTATTGTCAATACTCTACTTTTTTATTTATTCTTCTAAGCCACAATTATGTTCTATAAGCTCAGCATGTGCTCACCTAACCTGCACTTCTGGAAGAAGAAGCGGGCTTTGCATAGCTTCTCGCAGTAGGTGAAATTCGATCCTCACCATATTGCCATTTCCAAAGGGCTTCAACGAAGCGATCATACACAGCTTTCCTGACAGCCAATTCTTCCTTCTGATCGATCTTTTGATGTGTGCCCTTGCTGATCCGATTCGTTGCATAGGTAGGCCAGACAGAGGTCCCGTGTAAGTCAGCTACTGGATGACTGTTTTGGTTGCATGAAGACACGAATGTTGAGCACGTCCGTAACCGATCAGGATCGCCATGTTGTAGTAGCGAGGCAAACCGTTAGCAAGCTAACTCCGTAATGCTTCTTCTCAATTTTTAAAGGAAGTGGTCACGATAATTTTCATGGGAACGATAAGGGAAAGCTATGTATTGGAGTGGATAGAGGTCCTGCCCAGTGTTAGAACACGTGAAGTTTCAGTGGCAGTGGCGCCTTATCAACGGAGTGATAAGGCGCCGAAATCCACTTCCGTTCAGCAAAACCAAGACTTATCGATGTGGAAAGGGGTGCGATAAGAGCGTGCTAGATATGATACCGTTATCGTTATCGTCCCGTTTTCATTCTGGAGTGCACCTCTTATCAAGCAGCCGCACCTTCTTATCTCATCGTATCATATCTTCCATGGGCTTACACTCGTCCAACAATTACTGCCTCACACCTTATCGATTGATAACGCGAGGGTAGCAAATCCAGCGTGGAAGCCAGCGTCGACTGCTTTAAGATATCTACAACACTTCTAGTACACCGAGGCCTGAAAGCTAGAGATGGTGGCCAGTTTTTTCACGATTTTACATTTCTTTGGCGATGCGATATCGCCAAATGAATAATTTTGCCTGGGCCTATGTCTTTACAGATTCTTCGTGTTCCGGGGACTTACGATTGGGCGTCCTGCAAATACTGATCCCTGAAGCAATGTTCTAGTTACATATACAAAGGCGGTCGCTGAAAGCTACCATACGTTTATTGAGAAATGAGCTGGGAATGAAAAAAATCGTTCAATTCTCAGGGAGTATTAAGGACGCTGTCACAGTTGCGTCGCTGATCGAGCGTTGCGACAGCGAATCGAATTTGCCTGCGATCCAAAGATGTACGCAGCACTCAATAGTGGCTGGACAACGTTCAAAATGAATCTCGGCTACTTTACAGTGTCACTGTAGTCCCGTTTCAAAAAGGGGGTCCTGTCACGTGACAATTGTTGAACTAGGGTCCTTTATAGTTGAGTCCGCCACTATTGATCGCTGGTACTTCGTTGAACTCACTGGTACATAGTTCGACTCGCTGGATCATCGTCGATTCGCAAACTATGAGTCGACCTAAGTGAGAAAGAAAACCTTCCTTGTGCTCGGGTTTCGGCGAGACTCGCGAATACATCCGAGCTTCTTGGGCTCCATGTGATTACTTCGACGATAATGCGTGGTTGATTACAATTAGGGAAGCTCGCTTCACCCAAAAAATTCATGATTAGGACCAGAAACGAGCGACTGATTGAGGAGAACTTGTGTATAGTTAACGACTTTTCTTCATGTACGCTTACAATCTGAAAATAAAGACGGTCAAAGCAAAGAAACTATTGTAAATGATCATTTAGTAAGCAGATGTTCCCCGTCGGAAAACAGACCCCAGCCTTCGCGAAAGTGTCGAAAATTGACGTATTTATAGCTACAAACGTGTGGTGCACCACACTATGGTCGTTTTCTACACTTCGCGATCTAGCCATTGGCTTTGCTTCGTCACATCCCACGATTAAGTGGGGAGCGATACCCTTCAAGAACAAAAGTAGTATAAAGGCTAACACAGCGATTGAGCGATATCGGAGTCCGGAATGGTGGGTTGCACGCTAAGTATGACGCTAGAGGATTAAAATAGTTACATAATCACGCCCACTGAGTCAGGTTCCTCCCAGCTCGCCGCTTTCTGTCTCTTTGATGTCAATCCTCTTCCCGGCATACAGTATCACTTGGCCGTAGCTTGTGTGATACCTACACACTGTGAAAAGGAGGGCTTCATTCGAGGTGTTTCCATTTCGTTTTTGAAAATTAGCTTTGAAGTTTAGAGAAGAAGTTTGTCTATAACCAACTACTCGGCGTCCTGCTGTCCTAAAAAGCGCCTTTATACTGCTTCTAGTGCTTTTGGAAAACCTACAATTTTGAACTTTTTGGATCCACTCCGGTAACCTAGCGAGTAAGGTGCGCTAAGGTTCCTTCAAAAATTAAAGACTATGTACATGCTATACACATAACTACAAGTGGATACTGAACAGCGATTATCTTAAAGAAAACCAACTCATTACATAGTGTACATGAAAGGAATGATCATTTCTAAAGTACAAATTATGCTCCCGTATACTTACAGTTTGATACCGCTGTCTATTGAAAAATTATCCAGCTAACATGTTAGGCGGGATTGGGATGACTCCCACACCTACACCTCCTTCATGTGATCCGAGTGGCGTCGACAACTCCCATTGATCCGTCTCTTCACGGTATACTTCCATTGAAGAAAGGTTCGACATGCCATCATACCTGAAAAATTCCGAATATATGTTCTCTTCTGAAAAAGAATAGTGAAGAAAGCAAACCCAGCGATAGCGTATATCGAGTTCGCATTCGAAACCAGCGACACACGGCTGCGTTTGATGTTCATCGGTGTCACTGGTGACCACCTCATTGTCACTGGATCAAAGCATTCAACACTATTAAGGAATTGAGCACCATCATACCTGAAGACAATAATTATATCGGTGGCAGAATAAATACTACCCAGTTCCTCTAAAGCACATTCCGCAACACTGCTATGAGTTTTGATGCTCGAATAGAAAAGATGTTGCGTCGTTTGATAAGAAAAAGCCACTGTAACCAAGGAAAAACGGGCCCTTACTTTTGCAGCCAGTTGTATACCTCTCTTGCCATATACCCACTTCCATCAAGGAGAGGATTCTCCCTGACAAGGCGCTTCCTACCAAAAAAAATGAAGGCTGACGCTCTTGTCACTCACTATGGGGTCGCGAAATTGTGTCAATCAGTTAATCGTGGAATGCGCTTTCAACAGTATCTGGCTTTAAACTCACCCTCCGCACACATAAATTTTGCCGTTCAACGTTGTGGCGCCAAGCCGACATCGTTTCGAAAGCATCGAGGGCACGGCCTCCCACTGTCCTTTC